ACACACACACACACACACACACACACACACACACACACACACACACACACACACACACAAGCAGCTCACCCAATGAACATTAAAATACTCAATATCAGAAACTTTTATCATCGCAATAAAAAAACACTTTTTTTTCTGAGTGCTTTTAATTGGGCCAACTGGCTTTTATTCATTAGGAACATCAACTTAGCAGCCCTGACGACTGATACTCGATTCTGGTTCAGGAATAGCTTCATGCCAGAGGGTTTAGTGTTACCACACTGCCCTGTGACTGATGGCCTGTTGTTGTTTTACCAGTACAAGCAGTGCATTAAAGATGCATGGTGCTCAGCCACTTACCAAGGTGGTGAAGATTGGAAAACAATATCAGGAAGCGAAGTTGAAACGAGTGTGTTTTGAGAAAACAACTTTAAATTCTGATCAATACCTTATTACCTCCTAAATTCATACCCAATTCTCCAATTTCTTCATGCAATATATATGAAGCTTCAGCAGCTGAATGCTTAATACAGCATGGAAATTCACAAAGAGTGCATGCTGTGACTTCTAGCAAGATTTATAGGTGTTTAAGAAAAACACAAAAAGCACATGGGGTTGTTGCAACTCCAAATTAATCTTGTTACATTGTACAACGTTAATAATTTGTGTAAAATTCTGTTAGATATTCAGTCCTTGTGCAAACAGAAAGTAAACAAAATAACCATTTTAAAACAAACGCAACTGTTCAATTATTTCTACAGACCTCGAACGGGCCCATCTATTCATAAGCTAAACAATAAAAGAAATGCCTAATTTCTATCACAAATTCCACTCAGTCAGTCACCATCTCACTCACCTTGGAAAGCTTTGACGTAGCTGTTTCCAAGTGCAACGAGTTTCTGAAGACCGGGGTTAAAATGTTCCATCAGGTTCTACATTAAGCCACAAATAAAAAGACAAAGAAACTCAGATGAACCACTATACATAAATAAATAAATAAATAAATAAATAAGGAGAACAATAATAAAAATAGAAACTTACCGAGTAGACACCTAAAGTTGATTTGTGCAATTGGTCACTGCTGAGTCCTGACATTGCGACTAATTATAAAGCGAAAGTCAAATTTAAACGGGCAAACAAAAGCAAAACAGTTCGTCAGAAAAAGATGAAATATTTGTCAAAGGTTTTTGTTCCCATTCAGTGTTCTGAAAAGGTTTCAACAGGTCCTCCTGATCTGAGAGTCTACAGAGAAAGTCCCCTTCACTGCAGTACCTCCTTTTCTGCTGCTGTTTCAAAACCAATGACACCTTTCCCTGCCCTTGTTGTTGTTTTTTAACTATCCATTAACAAGCTCCTTTGCTGTCTTGTCATCACCTGTTTTCATGGAAAGAGAGAGCAAGCAAGTGCAAAGGGAGTAGGCGGCATTGATATGACCGGATGAATTATTGATTCATGACCTGAAAGAAAAGGAGGACAGCCAGACATCCCAGTGACGGCTGGACTCACACCTGAGGGAGCRTCTTCACTGAAATGAAAGCAGCTGTCGTCTTAAAAAAGGCAGATGTCAAGTAATAAATGCAGTTAAATCCAAAGACAGACAAAACCAAGAGGAACATTTGCTGTTCATGACTCGAGTACAAGAAAATCTGAAAGTCTGCAAGCGTTTAATTCACATCACTTTTTAAGTCCATCAAATAAATTAGTGGCTCTTTAGAAAGAAGGACATCTGTGACTGGAAAGGAAAATATTCTAACAGTTCTTGTTTGACATGGGGTTTGTTTTGTTTTCTCTCTTTTTGCAGGTGTAGAGGCAGACTACAGATGTGTTGTCTTGTGTTTTCGCAATGCTTCTTTCTCTTCTCTATTATCTCGTTTCCCCTTTAATCTATTTCTTCACATTTCTCCTTTTCTTTTCTGTCTCCACATCCGTCATATCAAAATATTCCCAAAAGAATTTCTAATAAAGTTTAAATAAAATCAAGTGTAGCATCATGGTGAAAGCCATTTCGCTGCGCTTGCAGAAGTAAAACAGTTGGGCCTCATCTTGACACTCAGACAATAATTATGAGTTTCACACTGCTGGGCAGGACACGTTAAAAAATAAAATAAAATAAAATAAAAAACTCATGGGGTTTGATGAAAAGATATACTATATACTTTTTTCTAAAAATTTATTCATTTTATTTCTTAAATTAATCATTGCCAACATCAGTTAACAGTCTTTAATGTCTTTCAAATTAAAATGTCTGAATAAAAGGAGAAGTAACACGAACAATATACCGCTAAGTAGACATATAACTACGTAGGCTTGTTAATTGTAAATTAACAACCAAATTAAAAGCACGATGGCTGATTTTTTTTTCAGATATATAT